CAGCACAGCTTAACTCTGTCAGCTTCACCTAGTCACTTTGAAGGCGACATTGAGGTGTATAGGTTACGAGGGTGTGAACCAAATCCCTGCAGAAAGCAGCACCAGGGTAATGGCCTTATACAGCTGCCCTGCACCCTCACCTTGGGCTGGGAAAGGATTTCTTCTTCCCAATCCTTGCATAGTATCCTGCACAAAGGTAACTTATTCTGGCTTTGTGTGATGGAGAATACACTCCATGTATTCATACCTACCTTGTCCCTACTCTTCTAAGACCTGCTCCAAGGAGAGTAGCATGAGGAGGAGGGCTAGTCTGGTGGGAGAGTGGGTGTGTTTTGGAGGATATAGATTTACACCCATTCCTGGACACGTGAGTAGCAGCCATCTTTTATTAGCCTTAAAAGAGGAACCTCAGGTAAAATGAAGCTTCCATCAGCTTGCAGCACTGCAGGTAATAGGTCTGGCTTAGTGGAATGGACAAGGGGGACACCACATGCCTGGACAGAGCTTCCTTGCCTCCTCAAATGTTCTGCTATTTTCTGGCTGCTTTGTGGATTTTGTAGAGTATAGTAGTCCTTTAACTAACTAATGCTGTGTTATTCATATATATAAGAAACCTATTCAGCTAGTTACTTAAGCAATAGTAACTGGTAGCCAGCCCCAGATCTTGGGCTGATAATGGATGCAAAATGCATTACATGCAGGAATTGTGATAATCTATCCTTGGCCTTGAAGACTAGCTTCTCCTTATCCCTCCAGTCACACATCACATGGCACCAGACTCTCCAGCTTGTGCTAATGTCTGGTAGTAATGACATAAGTCTCACTGGGCCAAATTGTGCCATTTTTCCAGTGGCCCAAGTACAGAACTGGACCTGTGACTTGGGGATTTCAGGGAGGCAATGTCCCTCACAGAGAGCCACTCCTTTCCCAAGCTCCCCGGTACACAGGGCACTGTGCAGAATGGTCCAGCCTGCTTTTTTTCTACGCAGGTTGGCCCACTGCACAGGTTGGTTTGGGGTCAGGAGAGGACCCAAGGGCCTCCATGTTCCATTTATGATACCTGTGTCTTTGGGGCATATTAAGGGAATAGTCCATGCACTCGTCCAAGTTCAGCGACTGTAATTGTGATAGGCCTTTGCACAGGCCATGCCAGTGAGGGAAACAGCTTCTTGTGTGCACCCCAAACTCTGTGCACCCCATAAGGGCCTCTCATGGCCTGGCGTGTTTACTTCAGTGGTACTAGTCATGTCAGTATATACTATTCAGCATGAATAAGGGGTTCAGAATCTGGCCTGCAAGTATCTGGGTGTGTGTAAAAGCCAAGATTTGAATTTGCTACTGTGCTTAAAGGGTTTTCCTTTAAAATTTACAAATACTCAGGTCATAACTATGTATCCTTCTCAAATACATTTCTTTTTTAAAATTTCCATATGCTGCTACAAAATTGTTTCCCTCATGCTCTATATAAAATAATAATAGAAATATGTAATCTAGCATCTGCAAAGACTTGTATCGCAACACTGTATTAGAGCTACACTCACAGCAACAGTGTATACAGAATACATTTTTAAAACGTCTGAATTCTTGCACCAAAAAAGTAGCTGAGTTCAAGTTAAAATAGAGTCTGTGGTGAAGAATTTAAAGAGTCTGTAATTTCAGTATATTTTGCTGTTTTGCTGTATTGGAAGCGTGTGTATGTGTGTATTTGTATAAAGGACCTGGTCTCACTAAAGTTAATGGGCATTTTTGCCCATGTGAACAGATACAGGCCCAATATATATAATTTTTAAAATGTTATTTTTGGTGTGTGTTTATTTAAAGGGATTTGATTGTGTTTCTCTTATCTTAAAGCCAAAAATGTAATTCTCTAGGCTGTTTATGTGAAGCTGACTTTAAAAATGCAATTAAAATATAATATTTCAAATGTTTGAGCTACTTCTTTTACTTATGTAGAAAATACTTTTGTTAGTTAAAGCTGACCCAAAGAGAAACAGAATAGAAAGTTTTAAGCTTGAAGGTCATTTCATATCAGGTTTGTTTAGAGATAAATTATCTGGAACACCATGCTTTATAGCATTACCTGTTAGGAGAAGCTGGGGCTGCAGGTTTTTGAGTTCCCTCCTGGGAATGAGGCTGCTGTTTGTCAGTATTTGCACCTGCATGAGCAGTGAAGGCTGCCTTCAACAATGCTGATCAACTCCAATTCTATTCCTTACTTCCCCCTCCCCCTAACTTCCAGGGGAATCTGTCTTTCCTGTCACTCAGGATAATGATTCCCTGCAAGCATAACCGTGATTCAGAAACTCACTGTAATCTCATCAAGAGTTTGATTCCCCAGCTGGGACTCTTGAATTTATATAACCAGAAGGTAGATGGTCATTGCACTTAAGCTTATGGATTGGTGTGCTGAGCCACCAAACTGGCAGAAAGATCTCTTTTCTACTGGCTATAGTCTTGTCCGTTGTGAGGGTAAAAATCAAAACATTTCATCCCATAAATTGGATTTGAGCTAATTTGATCCATCTATTCAATCCTCATTTTTTTTGTTTTTGTTTTTGTGTGGTTTAATGATTGAAAATAGTCACAGCTGATTCCCCAGTCGGTGGCTAGTGCAATAGATATTTAATTATATAATATATGTTTAATTATAATTTCCTATGCCGATGCAAAAGACCTTATCTTGTAGTTTTTCAGAAGCACAAATATTAAACAGCAGCTTTGCCCTTCAGAAATATTATTCTGTGTATTTAAAAGTCTGATTGACCTTTTAATCAGACACTGCACCTTTACTTCCAGCTGATACGACAATGTCTGACAGAGTAACTCAACTTGATGCTGCAAGAAAGTAAATAAATGCCAGCTCAACCCCAGATATATAAAAAAGTATTCATAGTGGAATATTTAAATGTCGCTTTCAAAGTCAATATGTAAGGGTAATACTTACACGTGATTAGCCATTCTTCTGAGGTTGATTTAGACATATGGTTGCTTGCTATTGTTCTAAACTCAGGCTTCTTTTATAGTCAACTTCTTTATAAATTATAAATTATATTATCAGCAGCCATCTTACAACCTACACAGAACTCTGTGGATAGTCTAGCAAGCATATCGTCTTTCTTTGGTATACCTTTGAAGGAAGCTTTGCTTTGCTTTTGTCATTACAGGTACATACCCTAGAACTGAGCATGTGTGACAGAATAGAATAGGAATTGTTAAAGGGGACATAATCAATACTTATTTTGGCACATACTAACAAAGAACACTCAAATATTCAGAGCATATTTATACAACAACCAAACTCGTTTTTGGAAGCTAATTTTCAGATGATTTATTAAACTTTAACATTCATAGATAGAAGTAGGATATTGAATAGTTTAGAATTCTGAGTACACAGCAGAAATTCTTTCTTCTCTGATATTCCAGTGGGAATGAATGATAAAGATAAAACAAGAGGAACTCTGGTTCCTTTTCATCCCCTTGCTATATTTATTAAACTGATTAATTTTAAGTATTTCTGCAAGGGGACCTGCATATTGTTTGAGCCTGGTTATTACAACTGATTACTTTTATGGTATAAAATGTTTGCCGTGGTAATTATTAGTTTTGTAGAACTTTGAAAAGATGCCTTAACTCATATAACTGATTGGCGGTGCCTCAGAGCATCTAGCGCTGCATCCATACAAATTTCTGGGTGTATGATTTATTAGCTGTATTTTGGAATGGAAACATTTAAAGGACCGCCATAAAAATATAGTTTAAAGACTGCTTCTTTTCAGTGGCATTCTTTAATTAAAGCTTCAACATAATCCACAAGAACTATTTCAAAACAATATTTATCTGCAATTTCCTTAAGCCCGTGTATTAGATTTTTTAGTTACACTTCTTCAGATATGATATTTGCTTATGTGGATATTTCTTAATGAACCAAATACAGCAGGATGGAATAACTGATGTGAATTGGCATGTATGATTTAAGGGACTGATCTTGCTCTCACAGTAGTCAGTGTAAAGTCATTAGCTATAGTAGGAGCAGAAATAGACCCCATAGTCCAATCTTTTGGGATGCGAGCACTATCAACCCACATTGAATGCAGAGGGAATTGAGGGCACTCAGTACCTCATAGAAAGCACTCAGCACCTTGCAAGATCATGGTTTAAGTCCTTCCCTGTATGTTCAAACTTGGGTGCCAAAAGCTGGGTGTCCAAGGGCTGATTAAGGCACTTAAGAGAGTGGTGCACTTTTCAGAAGTACTGAATGCTTGCCTGCAGTGGGAGTTGTGGGTGCTCAGCACCTGGGGAAAGTAAGCCATTTTTATTTAAGGCCCAGATCCAGGAAAGCATTTATGCATGTGCTCAACATTAAGCAAGTCACTATTCTTGTTGAAGTCAGTTGGACCATTCACATGCTTAAAGTTCAAGCTCTAGTGCTTTGCTGGATCTGAACCTAAGTGCCAAAATATGGAATGAGATGGCCAACTCTACGTTGAAAATGTTGCCCTATTCTCCCAAGACATCAACACAGGTGCATCAGTTCACAGTGCACATTGTGATCATTAGATCAATGTCTTCATTATTCTTGCATTAAAAAAAATGTCTTGCCAAAGTGTGTGTCTGCAAAACCACCCAACTATAAGCATACACCCAGTAAATCAGTGGATAGGCAGAAACCTTTTCAAAATGGTATCGTTATTCCATGACTACTCTCCATTTTCCAGGCTATATTTACTAGATGTTTATAATTATGTTTTCATTTCCATGACTTTATTGTTTAATTAAAGAGGAAATAGATAGTACATAGTGTATGTATGTATAAAATCCTGAAATGGCACATTTTTAGAAGGAGGACATTTCTATTAATTGTTGAGTTATGTGAGGCATCATGTTATATCTAGATAACTAAAAATATGGCTGAAATGTAAAGGAAAAAACCACAAGAAGAAATCTTATTTTATAATGCCACAGAAAGAAAGCTTAACTTGTTTTCTTGCTTTTTTTTATAGAGAACACCTGTTCCCAGCGCTGAAGCATTCCGATGGTTCTTTTAAGCAGTAGTAGATCTTATTTTCAAGGCAGTCCGAAGTGAATGGCAAGCTAAAGTCTTGTTTTAAGAAACTGCTTAGTCCACCATTGAAGAATATACTCAGATACTATTTTCATTTATGTATAGGGGTTTCCTCAAAAACAAAATTTAAACAATCTGGGAGCCTGGGGAATTGGCCAGTTTATTCACATTCAGTACACTGAATCTTTATTTGATGTAACTTAGCTATACTAGTGAAGTTGTTGTCTATTTTTAAAGTGGCTGTAAAAATAAAAAAGTTTGGGTAAACCCCTGCTATAAAATCATGTATCTTTGAAAAGTAACATATCTATACTTCATTTTCAAATATATGTGTTTCAGTACTGTAAACTGTACAGATAGCAGCTTGTATTTTGTGTGTTTAGACACAAGGAGACAATCATGTCTGAGCATCTATGGAGATTAACGGTTTGTACACAACAGTGTGGTTCTGCAAGTTAAATCTGGAGCAATAAATTCTAGCTTTAAATATTATTTTGCTGGCTGGTTAGCAGCAGCAGCAGCACTGTTTTACCATGCATCCTTCCATAGAGACTTGATGCCAAGTTTTACAAGATTAAAAGATTATGATGCATCTAGCAATTACCTTCAGTTGTATTGTTGTAAGAGGGGAAGACAAAAAATCTAAGATTAATCTTTTTGAGCACTATTTTAGAGTAGTGGTTGTACACTTGCATTGCTTCCAAAAGAGCTTTACAGAAGGGTATCCCTCCAAAGTAACACACCATAGCTGATTTGCTTTTGACTGTGCTGTAGGGTGAAATGCACAGTATAGATGGACATGCGGAATCAGTCATTTATATATAGCATGTTCTAGCATACAAAATGAAAAAAGAGTACCATATCTGAGAAAAATCTATGACTCAATGTATTTACCGTCCCACTAAGAGTTGCTATGTAGGTTTTTTCAATAGACGGAATAAAATTTTTATAAAATATATGAAAATATTTTCGCTCCATGTGCAACATTTAGAGATTAGACTAGTTTATAAATTTAGACAGGCTTGAATATCTCCTGCAGTTGTGCAGGCCATGAGAGCCTGGGTATTTTTTAAGTATATAAGAAAACCCCACATTTTTTCAATGAGTGACTATTTGTCCCCACACATCTTTCTTTGTCCACTGATCTTGGGCTTGCTGAATAACTGGTCCCTTGGGCCTATAGTAGAATGCTTCACCATTCTTTCTCCTGTACTAGCTATGTATACAGAACATTTACTCCTCATAAAGGCAGAGAATAGAGTTATATAATTCAGATGTAATACAAGAATATGGAGGATACTGAGTTTATGTACACTTCATACAGATTACCTCATCACCTATTTATAGCTTGGCTTTGTTTTCACTCACATGAAAAGGCCACCCCATGAAAGTAAGAGAATGCTGTTATGCCACATATTATATATGTTTAGTATTTTATACAAGATAGGATGATAAATGCTAGTAGCATCACAGAAAAGCATGGAAATAACAGGCTAATGATGCAGAGAGTGTACCAATAGCATAGTATTTCAGCACTTTCTCCATTATCTGCTAATTGTTTCATACTGTTGGCACATGGCCACACTCACTTGCTTGACAAATATTGGGGGGTTAGGTGAGCAGCATAGTGTGTCATCAGCTGTCTGTGGAGAGTCAGAGTTCTGGGAAAGTCTGAGGACTGACGAGCCCTGGCAATGGTCAAGCAACCTAAGGGCAGCAGATGGGAGGAGAAGCATCCTAGAATTGGCTGTGTAGCAGCAAGGGTCAGTAGAAGGGCTGGGACACAGTAGAAGAGCATCAGAGGACTGGTGTGTTGAGCTGGAGGAGATTGCACGTGCATTCTAAACGTTAGGGCTGACACATGTCCTGGGTTCCGTGTAGCATGACATCTTACATGTAATTTCAGAAAATAAATGCCATCTTTAATGTGCTCCCAACATGTGCCCCCTCTTATATTTTATAAAAGATCATTAATTAAACAATCATAAAATAAGCTTTACCTTCATTTACTTGGCAGCTTTGTACCTGATGTTATTTCATTTAAGACTTTCTGGTTAAGGCCTCCGTTATTTACTGCTGGACCAATGAGAGCTACATAAGGCCTTCTTTACCAAATTGTTAATTGATTTAAAAACTGACTGAAGCCTTATTTGCACATCTGGCTGGTGAGCTTGCCTTGCTTTTTGGAAAATTGTGATTGCTCTGACAGAAGTAGAGACAAAATTCAGTTCAGGCTACATTAGGTGTACAAAGATATTCATAGCAATGTACTTACTGTCTAATACCCTAATGTTGCATGTCTTGATGTGGTTTCTTTTTTTGTTTTGTTGTTTTGTTTTCAAGAACTGATGGATCTGTATATTGTAATTGTGGTGTTTTACGTCAATTCAAAATTGTTAAGAAAAGCAAACAAACCTGTTAATTATTAAAAATGAACAAGGATTGATTTTCGTTGATTCCCACATATGTCTTTTTTTTTTGGACATTGTTTCTTTATATCATCAATTTTCCATATTGGTAAAACAATATTTATATGATGTAGTGCATAGAGAGCATTTTTGTTTTTGATGTTTGAAGAAGGAAATTCCTTTTCTGGCCTCTCTCTTTCTCTCTCCTATACGTGGTACATACATATTTATAAATTAGATTATTGTCAAGTTCTAATGACTGAATTTGTGCTTTTCACAAGATCCTAAAATACTTTACAATATGAATTTTTTTATCCCTTTTTGTGTTCTTCATTTTCACAGTGCAAAAACCGCATAATATAACTTTGAAGTATTCTAGGTGTGAGCACTAAGCATGCCTAATAGAAAAAAATCTTTTTATCATACCCCAGATAAACCTATTAAATAATAAGGCTGTAAAGGAGGCACACATACACATTATGTGACTTAATAATAGACACTCCCTAGGAGAAAGGAAGTACTTCCTTTTGTCCAGAACCCCTGGTATGTAAGTAATACAATTAATGTTAAAGAATATAAAGTCTCTAAACGGGCTATATCTGTAATCAAATAATGAAGAAAGAAAGTAGTTAAATGAACATACCATTTAGGGTCGAATATATTCAGCAAAAAGCTGTAGTGGGTCTTTGATCATGGTTAGATGCATAGTGATATCAAACAGTTGGTTCTCATGTAGCAGCTAAATGTTTCAGATTTTTGTTTTTATTAAATTTGGCAGTTTCACACTGAGATCTACTCTATTCTTAGTGAATAAAAGACAGCTCCTATGTTAGAAAGTATTCCATTTTCACAAATGCAGGGAACTAGGAGATTTTTCAGAAACATGGGCCACAAAAATGTACTCCTTTCACAGTGTTCTCCTATTTCTGAACTGTGCAGTTATCTATTAAATTTTCTAAAAGATATTTGTGTAAGGTGTATGTATGCTTGTGCAATTATGAAAAAAAGCAGTTTTGGAAAACAGTGTATTTATTAAAAAAAAGTCACTTATGGGGCATGTACAAAACTGTATAAAAACATTCAGTTTGCCCAGTAAAGTTGTTTTTGTGATATTTCTGTGTTGTTGAATAAAGGACTTTAGTATTCAAAATATCTCTCTTTTTCCATAGACAGATTTTTGTTTGTGGGATCTTAAACACTGAAAACATTATCCTTAGAAAACTAATCTTCAAAATAATCAAGAAGATGCAAATGCTGTAACTGAATGAACACTACAAAGCTTCAGTACAGTATCGGCATAAAGTTTTTGTTCTCAATTGGCAGTTAATGGAAAAGTTGCATACATGGAGATGACATAGTACGATTCATTTTTTATGACAGCAGAAAAAGTACATTTTTAATTTGAAAGATTGGAAATGTTATATTAGGCTTTTGAGAATATGAAAAAATTACTGAAATAGAAGCAAAATGGATCAAGGAAAAATAACTCAATAATACTGAAACATGTTTGTATGATGGAGGAAAGTAACGAGGTTGATACTTGACAGAATTATCTACATAGGAGAAAGTATGCACCAGTGAAATTTCATCCATAGTCATTAAATCCATCAGTAATCCCTGAGATTAAAATGCCATTTTGTTGCTGGAATATTTTGGACTATGAATATGGTTTGTTAGAGTGGCAATAGCACTTTACCCTCATTTTACTACTTCTCAGTACAAAGTTCTGCTCTTTGGTTGCCTCATAAACTACAAGAAGCAGAAGAAACAGGTTCCTGCACATTGTAAATCCTTATTGTGGTTACAGACATTGGAACAACTTCAAACAGTTTTAAATGTTCTTGACTGCAGAATTCAATGACAACATATAACCAGGTTTTTATGAAGTTTGGAATCATATTGTTCTGATAATATATTCTGATAAACATTATGCCTAGGCTACTGCATCAAAAACTGATTGTTAAAGGTGCAGAAAGAAGAGTTAGATAATTTGGTCTCTGAGATTCTCTGAATACCCAGCAATTTTCCAGCTAGATGTCAGTGTACTTGTTGGTTTTTTAAGTAAGCAACAAAAATGAAAGGAATAGAAGCAGATTTTTCACTGAGCCAGCTCTCATTCATTGAAATCTTTAAGGATATATGCTCTTGTGAGATTTATAACTCTCATTAAACAATACAGAGAGTGAATCTTGAATACAATTTGAATACAGAAAGGGGGCTGCAGGTTACTTGCAATAGACAGTGATCTCTCTAGACTAAATCTAGGATTCTGGTCAGGAAGGATACTCATTTGGTGAGATGGTTGATTTGGAACTGGGAAAAGGTCTCTCTGTTCCTATCCCTTTAATGCTGTCTGTTTGAATGTTAAAAAAATGTTTATAGCAGAGATGGGCATAATCAAAAACGTCCCTGAACTCCAGGGAAATTTTGAGCTTTGCTGTTTAGAACTGTGTCTACTTTTTGTAGGGTGTTTGTTTGCTTACTTGCTTGCTTTTTTAACAAAGAAAGAGTAATGTTTCAAAGTAAAACTTAAACTCATTCATGATCCCAGTAATATCCTGTTATATGGAAGCTCCATTCTTATAGTAAGAGTTGACCATAATTTGTTTTAACCACTAGCCAGTTCAGCTTCTCACATATTTCTCCAAGGAACAATTCTGTAATTATTAATAGCCTGATCATGCAAGTGTCTGCTGTGAGGTTCTAATCATTCTCAAACTCCCACTGACTTCACTAGATACTTTGCAGGATCTAATTATAGATCACTTTCACTTAAAAGAAGATGATACATATTTTACTCATACTAACTCTAAGGGTGCACACTGTCACCAATGTGAAGTGGAGCTCCCATTCATGCCAGTGAAAGTTGTATGTGGTCCTAAAAACTATAAGAAATACTTCTCACTGTCAATAAGCTGCAGAATATATAATAAATATTGAGATCAGTGGAACTACTTGACTGGGGAAGATATTATTCAGCATGAGAAAGGTGGCAGACTTAGACCCTAAATTAGTTTTCAGCCTATTGATATCGCAGATACTATGGTGATAATGAGCATGATAAACACTGGTAACTGGCTAGCTAGGTCCTTCTGAAAAGTGATATTACCTGAGATACTGTCACTGTGGGAAACCTATTAGCAAACTAACCATTTGCAGGGCTGATTTAACAATCCTAAACAAGCTTTAATGTTCAAAAGTCAAACATTCCCATTATTTTTCTAATTGTTAAAACAACATTAAAGCAGGATGGACATTCTTTTACAGTTTCATAATTTGAGGGCTAGATGTGGCCTGTGATACTTTTTTCTTTTTCTTTTTTCTTTTCAAAAAAATGGTTGGGTCAGAGCATTTCCCTAAGGGGTTAATTTCCCAATGAAACTTGGATATACATCCTGACCTAACATAAGAATTTTTCTGTCAAGGGTGAGCAAAAGATATCCCATAATTGGAGCCCATGGTCTGTATAAACCTGTTTTAGTTTGTAAAGTCAAGGATTGTCTTTGGTAGAAAGGAATTCAAAACAATTCCAGTGTAAAAGTGTGCAGATACCATGATGTAAAACAGAACCTGAATTAATTATTCAGTGTGGTTCTGCCTAGCTCATAAGGCATAAAAAGTTCATCCAAGAAGAGAACTTTAACCTATACACCTTGTTCCCTTATTCCTTTAACAAAGTTAATAACAGGTGATTACACTAACTGTCTACACCTCTCCCAAAGAGCACAATTGGGAGAAATATAACTCTTACTTACCAGTAAGGGAGACAATTTATGTGGAGGGGTGGGGGGGAGAAAGAGAGAAATTAACCCAGGTCGGGGACTTCTGTTATTTGTCTAAACCTCCTGCCATGCATTCCCTCTGCACCAGATGTAACATGTAAGTGAAGCCGTAGCCAGAGAGTTCAGAGACTGTATACTGAAAAAGACCAGCACTGAAGTGGACAGGAACCAACACACATCCCTACCCCCATCCTCCTGACTGATACACATTCATACACATTTATCCTGAACAGCAGTGATGGACATCCTCACCCACTCTCTCAAACACACTTTATTCTGGAAACCTGGAAGAAAGAGTTATGGATCAGGTCTGCAATTCACAAGATGCAGGAAAACTTCCCAGAACCTGATGACCATGTAGAATACTAGATGACCTTGATCAGGAAAGAAGGTACATTGCATTAATTCATAAAGTAACGCAAGTTAATGACCTAGAGCATTATCCCATTCAACATCTTTTGCATAACCCCCACATCCTAGCTCTGAACCTCTCAGGCCAACAGGCTCTATGAGAAACACCCTGGATTATAAGTATAATTGGCTTTCATGTGCCTACATTTTGCCACCCATGCCCAGAATTTAATTATTAGTTAATCTGACCAGCTGAAATACTATATGGGAATGTACTGTTCGACACTGTAACTAAATTAGGAGAAATGGTTACACGTATCTAGTTTCCACCTGCACTGGAGGATTACTAAGTAAATAGTAGATTTAAAGAAAGTTATCACTGTGATTTGAATTATTGCTGGCTGATATTCTACTCTTACTAGTTTAGCCTTTTATGCTGATTGTTTGCATTTCTTGAACTGATTTGCCTTTTTTGATACTGTGTCACGTGATCTGCTGATATTTTGTGAGCAATCATAAATTCCAGCCTATGGCTAAATTGGTATATATTTATGCTAGACTCCATAATCATTCATTAATTTCTTATGATTAGCTTGTGGAGGAAGAGTTTTACAGGTTAATAAACTTGGACTTGATCTGGATTAAAAGTGTATGTGTGTCAGTTCTTTCCTGATTTTAAAACCCCACAAACATAAAGGACATCAATTAGGTGCAGACTTCAACTCAATTTAACCAGATTTCTGTAATTGTCCCCACAGCTGCTACCAGTGGTAAACTCAGAAATACCAATTGTAATTGAAAACCTTACTTTCAAATTCATTTCACATTTTCTTCAGGATGAGGAGTGTTTCTGACCTTTTTTGAACTTTCAGATTGCAGGGCTGAAAAAACAAGATTGGAGTTTGCTTTAATAGGCTAGCCTTGTACCTGTTTCAGAGATCTTCTTTTTTAAATACTATAACATGCAAAGAGCAACTTCCAGCTCAGACAAATTTAGCAGAGCATTTGCCTACCATATATTTTGGTTCACCTGGTAGAGCTGGACTACAAGAGTTCTGGTTCAAGTATCACTGTAATGTAAAAGACACACACAAGAGGGCCTCATTTTCAGAAGGCAAAGGCAAAAATTTGTGCACCCTCCTGCACCTCTGAAGTCAGAAGGACTTCATAAAGTCAAGTAAAATTGTTGTATTGTAAAACTACAGTAAAAAAAAATAACTGCAGGAGGACTGGTTAGCTCAAACAGGTAGTTTTGGCAGGTGTAGCTTTTTTCTCCTAAAGAGCTGGTTCAAACTCAGTCACCTTGGTAGTAACCAAAATTAATTACCATATAAAGGCTGTTCAGTGCTGTCCATTACTACTGGGAATAACTAATCAGGGAGGCTAGGGGTTGGCTTTCATAGAGATTAAATAACTTTCTCCTCCTTAGAGGTAGTGCCTCTAGAACAAAGTTGGCAAGGCAGATATGGGGAAACATGGCCTGACACCAATTATGCTGTATTTACTGTACCAATTCTGTGGATAAATAGAAATCTTCATTCTCTATATCTGTCAAGCTGACGTGTTTTATAAATATTACGTATGAAAAACTTAAAAGAATGTTCAGATTGAAAAGTCAACCACTCAAAAGTTTGGAAATACCCAGGCAACCTTAATTTGGACTCATTGAGACAATGCAGAATAACAGTCATGCCCAACATCACATAGGAAGCTTGTGGCAGAACTAGAACTTGGTTCTCCTGCATCCCAGTACAGTTCCTTAAATGCCAGAGAACGACCTTTCTCTTCTTGCAGTGATCTGCCTCCTTCACTGTTCATCCTGTGCACGGTATGAGGCAGGGTCCTGTAGAACACATTGATTAAAGACAGTATCATAATGCACATGAACGAGAGAGCAGTATTAGGACTGGACAGGCAGCCTTAATTCTGGCCTTTTCCAACGTTAGAGTATTAGATTTTACTATGTTAATGTTCTAGTAACAGTTTTTATTTTTGATTTCTTAGGTCTTTTAAAAAGCA